AGTTTCCAGCAGGCTGTGAACCATCTGACATGCTTGCTATGAACTGAACTCAGACCCTTTAGAAGAACAGCAAGTGCCCTTAAGTACTGAGCCATTTCTCCAGCCCCAAATTTATGACTATTTACAATCATTATTTAATGCATTAATTTAATATTGTATTCTTCATTTACCTACCCATGACTATCAAATTCAGTTCAGTGTAATATTCATTATCACTTAAATATTTGTGGACTTTCACAAGTATCTCAGATGGAAAGTTAAAGCTCCCCAGTTGTGCTAGGTACAGTGGTTCATGCCTATAATGCGAGCACTCAGGAGTCCATCCTGGGCTAACATTCTAGGTCAGCTTGAGCTGCTTACTAGAATACTGTGTCAAAAACAACTAGTTGTGATTATCATTGCTCCAAGACTCTAGGTTTTGCTATGGTTTCTGTTGATTGGTTGGTTAGTAGGTTGGTTGATTAGTTGTTGCTTTTTTGGGTTTTTTTTGGGGAGGGGGTTGTTTTGTTTTGTTGTTTTTTTTTTTTTTTGAGACAAGGTCACTTCTAGCTAACCTAACTAGATCAAGATGGCCTCAAATTCAGAGATCTGGCTGTCTCTGCCTTCTTAGTGCTGGAATTCAAGGTGTGCACCACCATGCCTGGCAAAATCCCTATTTTTAAAGAGGGGGGAACAGACTATAATTTTGTGAAAACATTGTAGAGTATAAACAAAACACATCTGTGGGCTACAATCACTAAAAGAAAACATTCATATATCTGAACATGGGTCAATATGAATAATATATATTCACTCTCCTTTCTTTGCTTCACATGAGAATCTATATGGAATAGGGACATCTGTAGAAAATTTAAATTGACAAACCATGCAGATTAAGAGTATGTTGTCCAAAAAAGATTAATTTGTCCATGTTTATGTGGATATGTGTGTGTGTATGTATGTATGTATGAAGGTAGCCAAAGTATTTTATTCTCTATACAAAAAAAGTTTATATCTAAGAATTTCCAGATAATACATGTTAAATGAGCAATTTAATAAAAAATCAAACAGCATATCATAACAGATATGCAGAGCACAGCAATCACAGAACATGACCACTGAGCTGTGATGTTTAAGTTTAGTAATACAGCATTTCTAAATGCTTTAAGAATATCTAATCTCTATGGTTATTATAAACATGAAAAGGCACAATTTCTATTTTCTCCAAAATTAAGCTCTACATTCTAAATCCATGAATCATTTTCAAGAACTTGTCAGAACAGCAAAGAGAAGTAGTCATAACATAGGTCAGTCTTTTTGTTTCTTCTTTTAAAAAAATAAAAACCAAAGAAAGACTGCTTGAGAAGACTCAGCACTACTTTTGAGTATCTTGCAGACATTTTTTCTCTATCCTTTGATATTCCAACAAGCAGCTACCTAAAGGCACATACCTGTAACTAGAACAAGCTGCCCACTGTCACGGAACTTCGACTCGTGTGCCCAACCACTCACTGCTCACAGCCCCAAACCTGCCTTCTGCAGCAGCTCTTCCTGGTTGTTAAAGAGAACAGACCCAAAACGTATTCTCTATTATCTTCCCCTCCTAAAGAACAGATGGTCTTGTCCTCGACTCATATACCAGTCCCAGGACTGCCCAGGTACATGGTCTTCACCAAGACAAAAACCTGATATGCCACTTAACTATTAAGTTATATGCCCTGAAAGTAAAGTTATTTAATATTCTTTTGTGTGATACTTTCAGGGAGGCAATTCACTCATCCTTTGGGATGGCTAGCTATTTCTTCTTCTTAAAAAAAAAAAGTCATGCGGGCATTTTGCCTTCATGTATGTCTATGTACCGTGTGCATGCCTATTGTCTCCAAAGGCTAGAAGAAGGCATAAGATTCCTCAGGACTAGCCAGGCGATGGTGGCGCACGCCTTTAATCCCAGCACTTGGGAGGCAGAGGCAGGCTGATCTCTGTGAGTTCGAGACCAGCCTGGTCTACAGAGCTAGTTCCAGGACAGGCTCCAAAGCCACAGAGAAACCCTGTCTCAAAAAAACCAAAAAAAAAAAAAAAAGATTCCTCAGGACTGAAAGTACAAATGGTTGCGAGGCGCTCTGTAGGTGCTGGAAAGCAAAGCCAGGCGTACTAAGGAAGAGCAGCAGGTGCTCGTCACCACTGAGCCATCGCTCTAGCTCTCTAGGTATTTCGTTAGAAATGTTCAAACTGTGCTGTTTCTATTCCTACAGCATTTCTCTCTTAACCTTTCAGCCAAAGAAAGACAATATTATTAAGGACCTTTGACGGAAAGGGATTACCTACATGACCGACTTGTTACACACACTGCTCGATTCAGCTTTCCTACTATGGTATCACAGTAGGTATTATCCCTTCTTACAGCGTGAGAAATGAAGCGCAGTGGGGAAACAGCGGTACTAGGCCTTTCTGGGTCATAAATAGCTTTTTATCTACACTTAACCTTTCATATACATGCAGATGTACTCTTTGCAATTTAGAAATGAATTCATTTGACTCTACAAAATGGGACCAGTTAACAATTTTTGAAGTTATGGAAAACAATTGAGCATCCTGTAGCCCATGAAATGAGAAATGTGGATGCCAGGAAGAGTTGACCTGCATGACCTGTCACTGAGGAGGGAGAAAGGGAAGCTGAAAGGACCAAATGAGAGTGAGCTGTGGGCTTTTTTCAATAGCAGGGAGGCTCATTAGCAGGATCAAAGGGAATAGATTCACCCTGTTCTGACTTCATAGCTAGCAGGAGTTGGGTGGGGGAACAGGAGGCACAGAGAGAAGGCTTGGAGCAAAGGTAAGAGAAAGCTAATATCATGACAGTATATGATGGCATGGGAAAACCCCATGACCCGGAGCTATAGGGAGGAGTTTCCTATGGCAAGAGCTGCTTTAATTATCTCCCCTATCCTAACCCTATCCGCACTCTCAATTGTACAGATCGTATGAGTGCCCTCGAGTGTTGCCCGGCAACTTGCCAAGAGCCCTGGGGAAGAGGATAGTCCTAAGCAATACCAATTCCTTGTGGTTTTTCCCTTTTATCACATGTATCTCTTCTAATCCCCTCCTTACTGCTCAGTGAATCTTTCAATTTCCACCAGGTAATCAGTTTAATCCTCTCTTGAGACTTTGCATTCTACCAGGCCTTCTTGTTAGGCCTACCACAGCCTCCAGATCAGTCCAAATCCAAAAGTCCTTCCCAATTAAGCCATTTTGTCACTAACTAAGGGCCCAAATCCTTCACTCTAGTCAAACAAAACAAATTTTCCTACCACTCGAGCTCTAGGCTTCAGAATCAATCCAATCAATTGCATTTTTAGATACCTGCTCCTAGTGGGCCACTTAAAGTAATTCATTTGAGGGAAATAAAAATCATGGGAAAAATTCAGAGAAAGGTAAGAGAAACACATGTCGTGACTTAAGGTGCAAACAAATGACATCTGCCATGGCAGGCCTTCCCCATGTCTACCCTGAAGTTCTTTTGAAACAAATATTTACAGATACACTTTTCCTCTCTCCTGGACTGAGAGTGTCTTTAGTCAAGAGCTATTATATATTTACCATTGAGACTGGAGTCACAGGGAGCACAGTGAAGATACATCTATTCAGTTACTACCTGGGTGCTGTATCTGTGTGTGTATTAAAGTGTGTGTACATAAAAGTTTAGTGTTGAGAAAATATGTATGCACAGAAAGGAATTAGGAACGTTCCAAAAGGTGAAGTCAAGGCACCTTTGCTACTAAAACCGTGAATGTCAGTTCCATACAATATTGCAAATACACACACACATTTTACATGTATTATAAATTGGTTGTTAAAGTTTGACACAAGTATGTATTCTCATAATGTAAAATCAGGTGTAGGACTGAATACATAACTTTATCAAAATAAACGTAATTGTTAAAGAACATTCTAAGCTAAAATGCTTATTAGAAAAATCTTTCTCTCAACTATTAGCATTTGCTGTCACTCAGCAACAATGCAATTCTTTTCTTTCCTTGTCCTCGATTGGATTTTAATTTATTTTTTATAGGTAATATTTAGCTGTTTACTTTTGTGTATGTTACCTCAATACTTGAACAGGCAAGTTTCTATCTTAAGTCAACAATAAGAATAACAATCTGTTGGGTGTTTTTTTTTTAAGGTGACACTTAATGACCTGTGGATGAGTGATTTGATAATAAATTAGCCTGAGTTATTTCAACATTCCTCTAAAACAAATCTGAAGATTATGGAAGAAATTTTCTGAGTAATTTAGAATATGAATATATGAATGAATGAATGAATGAATGAGTAGATAGGAAAGTTTATGGAAAGTAAGCAAAGGAGGAACTTGAAAATTGTAGCGTATGCTGGAAAACAAGCCACTTTCCTGTCCCTTCTAACAGTTGGTAATGGGTAGAATTTTGCCCCTTGAAAGTGCACATTTATAAAAGACCTGAAACTACAAAAATTTCCTATCATTACAGATGCTTAAATGCTTCCACTTTTAAAGTCACAGCTAAGCGGCTGCCTTTTTAAGTCGTGGTGAAATTGCCTCCAGACCCATCCAGGATATCACACTCTATTTACCAGTGTCCAAAAACAAAAAAAAAAAAAAAAAAAACAAAAACAAAAAAACAAACAAAAAAAAAAAAACACCATAAACCCTTTTGTTAGGTATTCTTTTAACTGGTTATTTAAAGCTAAGCAGGCAAACCATTCTAAATTGCTAATCCACTCTTAAACAAATAACATGACCAGCAATGCTCTCTGATAAACTTGATGACACTGAGATTTTGAAGCGATATTCTACCTCTTTTCCTTAAATTACCCTAGGCCGGTCTCACAGTAATCACATCAATGCAATTCACGAAAATACAAGAGTCCATTCTCCCCATCTGTCCTTAAAAGCCCCACTCAGCAGTTTGTGCTGTAGCACCATGCTGCAGCATCCCTGCACTTGAACTTGGGAATAGGCTTTCCAGGACTGCAGGCAGAGCCCTTACCGCATTCCTTCTGAACCTCATCTTGCCTCTCGGGGGATTTGCTTCTGCCATCTCGCCTATACACAATTACACTCTTCTTTTCCGATTGTCAATGCAACATTGATGAAATACGAGCTGCTTCTTGGGTGGTATTTAAAAGCAGCAGCCAAAAATCTCTATCAAACAAAGCTACGGCTGCTTCCATTACCACCGCGGCAGAGCTGCAAAAAAAAAAAAATCCACTAGCCCTGATTAGTCAGCTGACAGGTCCTTCCCTGCTGCTCATTGTGATTCAGAGTTGACACAGTCCCCCCAACTACTTAGCCTGATTGAGCCTTGTGGATTAGCTTGTGCTGGACTATTCAAGAAGATCAGACAGGTCCTAATAGTGGAGGGAGAGAGAGAAAAAAAAAAACACTCTCCTCCTCAGGAACAGTCCGGATGGGACTGGCTTGCCTCTGCGTAGTTAGATTTTTTAAGGTGGAATGCTAAGATTCTTTGTGAAGGTAGTACTCACTGATACCTTGTCCTCTTGTCCTGCACTGCTCTGAGACTTAAACTTCAATTCTATATTGTATTACTACATTCTATTCTGGGCTTAAGGGTTGAGAAGTGTTACAGTTTATGAAGCTGTATCCTGATAATCTTGAAAGAAGAGAATATGCACGCAAACTTTTTAAGATGGAGAAGATTCTCCCTGAAAATTAACCTTCCCACAAATAACTAAAGAGAGCATTTTGAATGTTTTTACCACAAAGAAATGATAAATGTTTGATGTGATAGACATGTCACTACACTATGTGTGTGTGTGTGTGTGTGTGTGTGTGTGAAAGCATCACGTTTTACCCCATTAATATATACAAGTTTTCCTTTTGTTTTTTAAGACAAGGTTTATGTGTGTAGCCCTGTCTGTCCTGGAACTCATTCTATAAACTAGACTGGCCACGAACTCAGAGATCTGCCTGCCTCTGTCTCCCAAATTCTGGGTGTAAAGGCTTGAACCACCAGGTCTGGCCACAATTATTCTAATATTTCTTTTATCCTAGGCATATATGTGTGAGCCTGAGTATATGTCTATGTGCCAATGCAGGCAAGAGCCCACAGAGGTTAGGAGAGAGGTCAAATCCCCTGGAACTGGAGTTTCTGATGGTTGTGAACCACCATGCAGATGCTGAGAAGTGAACCTGGGTCCTCTCTGCAAGAGCAGCAAGTGCTCGTAATTGTTGAGCCATCTCTCCAGTCCCATATGTACAATTATCATAGGTCAACCAGCAATAATTTCAAATTCTTCTCTCATTAATTATGAAGCCTAACCCACCTTCTTTCATTTATTTTGGAAGCTGTATGTTTTTCTATTTTATTTTCTATATCTACTATTTTATTTTTAGTAATAAAAGGAGTAAAAAAAATCAATGAACTAAGCGATCTGGCTTAGTATTGAACATTGTCTCATCTAAAATACACCATTCCCAAACAGAAAATCTTACATTTCTCCTATATACTTAGCACACTATCATGGGTAGACAATATGTTAACACATAGACAATTATGATTAGTGATATGAGAAAAATGAGATTATATTTCAGGCATTGGAAGCTGTAAGTTAAGGTCTTCACACTGAACTTTACAGTTATCTCACTGAGGGGGCTGGAGAGATGGCTCAGCAGTTAAGAGCATTGCCTGCTCTTCCAAAGGTCCTGAGTTCAATTCCCAGCAACCACATGGTGGCTCACAACCATCTGTAATGGGGTCTGGCGCCCTCCTCTGGCCTGCAGGCATACATGTACACAGACAGTTATCTCACTGAAAGTAATAGACCACATGGGGATATAAGGCAGTGGTAATACACATGCGGCCCTAGGTTCTCTCCCCAGGACCAGAAGAAAAATGGCAAATGTTAGCGTAATAGACCACAAAAAACACTAACTTCTCTCCTGAGGACCCATGTATATGATTACCAGCACCCATGTCCGGTGATCCACAACTACTTATAACTCCAGTTCCAAGGGATCCAACATCTTTTGGACTACTTGGGCACCAATACTCACATATTCACATACATACATACATAATTAAAAATGAAATATATCTTTAGAAAGAAAGAAGATAAAATATTAAAAATAAACATCTACCAAACTGCATCTCCAGAGCAATTTTGTTTTGTGTGTGGTGATTTGAATGAGAATGCCCCCCCATAGACTCATAGGCTCTTTATTTGGACACTTGATCCTCCGTTGGTGGCATTGTATAGGGATATTTAATAGGTATGGCCTTCTTGGAGGAAGAATGTCACTGGAGGTGGACTTTGAGAGTTTAAAGACTCATCATTTCCAACTGCTTTCTCCTTTTCTTTTTGCTTTTTTTGGGTGGGGGAGGTTGAGACAGGATTTCTCTGTATAACATCCCTAGCTGTCCTGGAACTAGCTCTGTAGACCAGGCTGGCCTCGAACTCACAGAGATCCGTCAGCCTCTGCCTCTTGCCTCCCAAGTGCTGGTTATTAAAGGTGTGCACCACCACCACCCAGCAAGAGTTTAAAGACTCATTTCCAACTGCTCTCTCCTCTCCATGCTTGCAGCTCAGGATGCGAGTTCTCAGCATCTGCTTCCTGCCACCATGCCTGCCACGTGCTGTCAGGATTCCCTGTCATACTCTTATCCTTCTGAAACCATAAACCCAAATAAACTTTGTTTTACAAGTTGCTATGGTTGAAGTGTCTTATTACAGCAACAACAACAAAAATAACTAATACAGTGAGTATAAGTGTGTGTGTGTGTGTGTGTGTGTGTGTGTGTGTGTGTGTTCGTATACCCATGTGCATGCACAGAAACCAAAAGCTGTTCAGTCTCCTGTTCTGTCACTCTTGCCTTTCTCCATCAAGACAGATTCTGTCACAGGGCCTGGAACTAGGCTACCCGCCAGCAAGTCTCACTGATTGTCCTGTTTCCACAACTTTTTACATGGGTCTCTTAATCAAGAAAAAGGAGTATCAATCATACTTAGAACTATGAATGCTTTAGAGCAGAAAAATGCACTCATGAAGGCCTTTCTGTAGTTACTGTTTGAGACATGGTCTCATATAGCCCAGACTGGTTTTAAATTCACTATGTAACTGAATATGACCTTGAACTGTCTATCCTCCTGCCTCTGCCTCCTGAGTAGAAGGATTACAAGCATGTACCACCATACCCGATTCATGTAGTGCTGGGGATGGAACCCAGTGCTTTGTAGGCAAACACTCTACCGACAGAGCTACAGTCAGTATTGTTATTTTATTTTAGTACTTTGTTTGACTTTTAGGCTCTCTTCACTGTGTGATGGTTAGTGCTAAGTGTTAACTTGACAAAATTCTAAAATCACCTGGGAGATGGGCCTCTGGAAGATGTCTGTGGGGGATTATCTTAATTGTGTTCACTGAGGCAGGAAGACCTGCCCACTATGGGTGGCACCATTCGCAAGGCACGACATCCTGGATTATGTGACAGTGGAGAAAGTGAGCTGTGCACTAGCATGTACACACTCATTTCTCTGTTCTTCTGGCTAAGAATATATTGTGATCAGCTGCTTCATGTTCCTGCCACTATTACTTCTCTGCTCTGGTAGACTACCGCCCAGAGTCATGAGCCCTTCTGCTTTCAGAAAGTTTTATATTAGCAAAAGTAAAAGTAAAAGAAATTAGGATGTACTATTTATGATTAAATACCTGTTATAAACAAATAAAAGAAAACCCCTACTAAATGGCCCCCAAATAAGGAATAACTCATGATGGATATGAAATGGATGATCTTATTCACTTTGCTACTATATCTGGCTCTAAGTGTTAGTATGCTTTTATGTTTGTCAACAAACAACATAGCAAAACAGTAATGACTCAGAACTTCAACAACCTCAATATTTGTCATGCCTTTGTAAGTAAATAGACTTCTTCTGGTGGAAGTAGCCTCTGAGTCAGTCAGGAGACAGAGAACTTCAGGCCACAGGAGCTGACAAGAGATAACAAATATACTACTAATAATATACTAATATACTAGATTTTTGCCAGAAATAAACAATAAATATTTGAGAAGAAAAAAAAATGGAAGGGCTTATCTCTGGGTGCTTAGAATACCAACTGAACTACTGCTTGAAATTTTTTCTTCACAATTTTCTATGTGTCATAGGTATACAACATAGATACCTCCATTTTCCAAAAGGTCCCATAAAATATATGCCTTCCTCTGGAAGTCATACAGAACCACAAGTCTTTGCTCACTTATAATTTGAACCATCAATTCCTCATTCTTCCCACTAGGACTTATAGTGGGGTCTCAAGTTCTTCACTGAGACCTGTCAAGTTCTTTACTTCAGACCACAAAGCCTTCCTACTTTCCCTTCTCACTATATCAATATCAACATTTATTGTCTCCATCAATATCAAAATAATCCATATTTTCAAAAGGCAATGTATAACTAAAGAAGAAATTTTTGTAGAGTACTTACTGAGATTTTCTGGAGGGAAATTTTGAGGGAAGACCATGTATCCAGTCTGCGATCCAGAATAATAGTAAATCGGGAGTCAGATCCATTTTGTCTACAAGATAAGAAATAATAATTTTTGTCAGTAAGAACTCTTATTTATTATATGTGTCTTTATTTATGACTATTTTTCAGTTAATGTTTACTTGAAGAAAAGTTTAGCTTTGGAAGTGCTATCTTAGCCAAGAAGTAGTGTTATATGCCTTTAATCCCAGCACTCAGGGAGGCTGAGTCAGGTGAATCTGTGAATTTGAGGTCAGCTTGGTCTACAGAGTGAATTCCAGGAGAGCTAGATTTCAAATTAAACCCCAAAAAGCACTCTTTAAAAATTAATTTAAATCTATATTCCCCTATATTTAAACTTTCTTTTTCAGTACTAACTTCAGTCTTTTAAATAGGAAAATGAGGTGGCTGGAGAGGTGGCTCAGAGGTTAAGAGTACTTGCTCCTCTTACAGAGGTCCTGAGTTTGACTTCCAGTACCTACATGGTGACTCCCAATACCCTGTAACTCTGAGTCCAAGGAACCCATTGTCCTTTCCTGGCTTCCACAGGCACACACACAGACATGGCGTTCACTCACACAAAAACACATGCATACATATGAAAATGAAATAGGAAAAGGTTATATCATAAAAATGGATTAGGAAAATTAATTTAGAATCTTGAAATATTGGTGGGAAGAAAACTGAACACCCTCTGCCTTTCATTACATCAAGCTTAACTTCACA